GGAATCTTTCCATGGAGCCATTTAATCACTGCTACGATGCACAGCTCAGCCGTTGTTCTCGCTCTATGGCTAGTTATTTTGGCAGATATTTGCAGGATATCGCACTGAATTGAGTTGCGCAGCGTTTTCCCTGCTAGGAAGTGATTTTTTTGGTGCAACTGAATTTTACTTACATGATTAAGGTACTTTCTTTAAATTTTAATACCAGCAGTAGAGGCAATTGATATGAAGTCCATTAAGGGACACAGATTCGAATTTCTTTCAACTATTTTTTAATGTTCTGTTATGATTCGCGTCCGTAAACGGCCTTCTGCAGAACCTCACTATTTCAGTCAGAATGAGACCTAGTCCTGACGTAGCTCCAAATCATTCGTCTCTCTGTGCTATTTCTTGATATGATCATTACAGTAATCTTGATCTGTCGTTAATGATGCGGGAACTGAACAATATTTGTTATAGCAGCTTCATAACTTTGCATGCTTTAGTACTCTATTTGGTAGTTGCCATCTTCGAGTTGTGTAGAAGCTACTAAGTACAGAAATGATTTTGCAGTTGATCTGTGATTCTACGACGTTGATATAGCCATATTCCACGGTAAATTAGAATATCTGATAAAGTCATAATTTCGGTGTTTTTAATTTGACTCTCAGATGCTGCACAAATGTTCAACAGCCCTATATTCCTAATCACTGCTTGTCACTGTTGTTGTAAAGTCTCTAATAAGGGTTATATCAATTTTTACCAACTGCAAGGGGCAGTACCTTTTATACACCAAGCCTTATCTTCCAGTCGCGTAGACGCGACTCAGAAAAACACGGACTTCGCATTTATGGCGAACAACAATGGAGTTGATTTTCCACTGGAATTAAAATATTTACAAGTTCTATTATGATTAATAATTGCCTACATCGTGGCTCCATAAACTGAAAGACCTGCTAATACAGTTTATAAAAAATCTGAACAGTAACTGATTCGCGAACCGGAAGAAAATTATTAGAGATCGTTTTCAAAATTTTAATCGAAAACGTGAACA